ACCCTGAGGACCGTCAGGACCCTGAGGACCGTCAGGACCCTCAGGACCGTCAGGACCCTCAGGACCGTCAGGACCCTCAGGACCGTCAGGACCCTCAGGACCGTCAGGACCCTGAGGACCCTGAGGACCACCACTTCAGGGAGCAGGGCTGACGGGTTTGATTGACAGGTCAGGTGAGAGCTCTGTTTTACCGTTCAGCTGCTCTCAGGTGACGTCCTGCAGTCTACAGACAGGAAGTGGTTGGCGGGCCTTACCTGTCCTCTCTGGGTGCTGATGGTGGTCGCCATCTTGTCTGTTTTTATCTTCAAAACAAAAACAAACCAACAAAAACAACAACACGCGTCACGGAGTCATTAAAAACAACCAAACGTTCCGAGCTCGGATTGGAGTTTACCCCCAGACCACTTCCTGTTTCCGGTTAGGGCTGAGCGCAGAGCTGATGGAGAACTGCTGCCCCCCTGCGGCTGGAGGGCTTCTTCATCCTCATCAGGGGTGGGATTTATAAAACTGGCGTACGCACAATTTGAGCCCAGAAACTTGCGTACGCCACTTTTTACGCCAAGGTTGTGATTTATAAAATCCAAACTTGACGTGAAAATGTGGCAAACACATCTTACACGACGTGTCCGTTCACCGTTCATGTCCTCCTGTTCCTCTCAGCTGCTGTGTGCAGCCATGAGTCTGTGTTTATTAACTAATCCATGATGGATCACTGTTAGATTAACATGATGTCATCCAGATTAAGTACAACTAAATCTGTTACTGCATCCATTAATTACAAAACAGCTTCAGTTTATAGTCGTTTGCACAATTTCCAAGTCCTGCTACTGATAATCTAAAACTAATGTGCTAAAAGTTTAACTATTTATTTAAGCAAAACAACTTGACAAGTTGCTCAACAGTCCTCATTTAATGCAGTGAGAACTGCAGGCTTTTTCATGTAAATGATACATGATTTTTTACTTGTAATAATCTGACTTTAATCTTGTAATATTCTGACTTTAATCTTGTAATA